AGGGGCTGGCTTGGGCAGGGGCCGTCCAGGGGAGACTGTCCTTTCTTCCTCCTCACTGGGCTCAGACATAGAACCTAAGCTTCTGGAGGTGGAGTCTCTGTGTCCTTGGCCCTTGCCTGTGGCCTCTTTAGGCCTGTGAGGTGGCTGGGGGTGCTGGTTTTGGACGCTGGACCTGGACTAGTTACCTGTCCTCTCCTGCCTCGGGTCAGAACACACAGCCAGCCCTGCCTGCCACTCCTCTTGATGAAGCACCTGGGACATTGGTCTTCCCGAGGGACCAGGACAGGTTACAGGGTGTCAGGTCCTGACCTACCCAAGTCTCAAGGTGCATTTCTGGCTGTAGCTAGTCCGAGGGCAGCGGTGCCCACTGTGCTGCTGGCACCAGAAGCAGGCCTGGCCAGGGCAGCCTGTAAGCCCTGTGCACAGGGTTGCATTGTGTAGCTTGGGGACTGAGACCCTATTGTGCCCTGAGGGCAGAGGAGGGATGTGAATGTCCAGGCCTCATGGTCACTCTTGGTCAGTTGCCTAGAGGCCCTCTGGGGCCAACCAAAAAGTCTCAGATTCACATTCCAAGGCTGGGTTTCCAAAAAGAAAGATGTCTGTTAAGCCACCCAGGATAACACCTGGCTTCACCAGGTCAGCAGGGCCACCAGCCCTCACCTGCTCAGGCCTAACCTCAGTTCCAGGAGAGACTCGGCCTGGGGCCGGGTTTAGTCCAGAGCTGGGCTCCTCCTGTGGTGACGAGGGACAAGAGTCCTGAGGTGGGAAGAGTGGGCTGCCCGATCTGGAGGGGGCTCTGCCAGTCCCATCTGTGGGCCCACAGCGCCTGCCTTGGCCCTGAGGGTGCCATGAGACAAAGCCAACTGCTGCTGGCCACAGGCCCTCTGAGTGGTGGCCTCCCCCGGCTCGGTGCGTGGCGATGGCCTTGCTCATGGTGCCCCGGCCGCTGCTCCGGCAGAGGTAGGCTATCTGAGCTCAGGAAGAGTCCAGGACGGCAGCCTCTGGAGGGAGGTTGGGAGAGTGAAGACCCTGCCTCTGGAGGCCAGGGTGAGGGCAGCAGGCAGAGTCCAGGTGTCCACTGCTGCTTCCGCCCTGCAGACGCCAGCCCCATAGCTGCCATGGCGCTGTCCTGGAAGGAGCGAGTTTTCATGGCTCTGCTGGGGACCGCAACAGCCTCAGGCCTCACGGTGCTGGTCCTCATCCTGGTGGAGGCCACCAACATCCTGCTGCCCGCAGACACAAAGGTGCCTGCACTGGGCGGGGAGGAGAAGGCTAGAGGGCAAGGCCATCAGCCTGCCCCACCCTCCTGACCCGAGTCTTGCCTGCAGTTTGGGATTGTGTTCGACGCCGGCTCTTCCCACACCTCTCTCTTTGTGTACCAGTGGCCAGCAGACAAGGAGAAGGACACGGGTTTGGTCAGCCAGGCCCTGGCTTGCCAGGTGGAAGGTCGGTGGGGTCACTACCTGGTGTTGGACTTGCTGGGGCTGACTGGCTGGGACTCTCAGTTGGGGGAGGCGCAGGCCTGCGCTGAGAGAGGAAGTGGCTGACACAAGGTCCCACAGATGGGCAGTGGGACGGGAGGGACCCGCACAGCCCTGCTGCCCCGCCTCCCATGCCAGCCTGGCCGGCCCAGCAGGGCCTGTTCTGACGCAGCCTAGATGCTGCAAGGGGCTCCCATCCCGGCCTCCACTCTCCAGCTCTAGCCCTCTCAAGCCCCCAGTGTCACCACGGCCACCAGCTGGGGCCTGCCCTCCAGGACCCTGCAAGGGAAAAGCTACTTCCCCAAGTGAGAGGCCAGAAAGCTCAGGGCATGTCACTCAGAGCCTCGGAAGGGCCTCCACGGGGCTCTGTCACATGTGGTCAGACCTTTGGGGCCACCACGCATCCCACCCACCTTCAGGGCTGCAGCTTGTCTTGGGGTGCTGTGTTTCAGGGCCTGGAATCTCCTCCTACACCTCTGACCCCACACAGGCTGGCGAGAGCCTGAAGGGCTGCCTGGAGGAGGCGCTGGCACTAATCCCAGAGAACCAGTACCGGGGAACACCCCTGTTCCTGGGGGCCACGGCCGGCATGAGGCTGCTCAGGTAAACCAGACTCAAAAGCCAGGGCTCAGAGCCCTGGGGCAGGGTGGGCAGGGGCTGGGCCAGGCTTCCTGCCACCTGGCCCCTGGTTTCCACTGCCCAGCCAGAAGAACAGCTCGCAGGCAGGGGACATCCTTGCAGCGGTGTCTGGGGTCCTGGGCCAGTCTCCTCTGGACTTCTGGGGTGCTGAGATCCTGGCTGGCCAGGATGAAGGTGCTTTTGCTTGGATCACCATCAACTATGTCCTGGGCAGGCTGCTCAAGGTGCTGTGGGCAGCCCGAGGGTGGGGCTGGCTGGCCAGGGCCTGGGCGGGGTGTGGCTGGCCAGGGCTGAGTGGCCCTGTCTGTGGCTAGTACTCCTCTGGAGAGTGGATCCAGCCTGCAGAAGGGACGCTGGTGGGTGCCCTGGACTTGGGGGGAGCCTCCACCCAGATCAGCTTCCTGCCCCGCGGCCCCATCCTGGACGAGAGCACCCGAGCGACCTTCCGTTTGTACGGAGCCGACTACAGCATCTACACTCACAGCTACCTCTGCTTTGGGCGGGACCAGATGCTCAACAGGCTGCTGGCTGCGCTGGTGCAGGTCAGGCTGGCCCAGGGAGGGCGGGAGGCAAGGCAGGCTGCAGCTCAAGCCCCCTGTGACCCTGCAGAGCCACCCCGGGGCCCTCCTGCGTCACCCATGCTACCTCAGCGGTTTCCAGACCACGCTGCCCTTGGCCTCCCTCTATGAGTCGCCCTGTGTCCACATGGCAGCCCAGCTGGACCTCACCCAGAACCTCACTGTTGAGGGCACAGGCAACCCCGGGGCCTGCCTGGCTGCCATCCGGGAGCTCTTCAACTTCTCCAGCTGCCAGGGCCCAGAAGACTGTGCCTTCAACGGGGTCTACCAGCCCCCAGTGCAGGGCCAGTTCTACGTAAGTTCCGCTCGCTGCGCCCACCCTGGATGGCTTCCCTCAGAGCCCCAGGAGGCTGCCTGGCCCCAGAAGGAACAGGAGCACCCTGGGCTGGGGGGCAGTGGGAAGGAAGAGCCATGGCTGGCTCTGGGGAGTGGGTCCCTGGGACGGCCTGCCTGGTCATGGCCTCTCCCTCTGCCCCCAGGCCTTCTCCAACTTCTACTACACCTTCCACTTCCTGAACCTCACCTCCAGGCAGCCACTCCGCACTGTGAACGCCACCATCTGGGAGTTCTGCCAGAGGCCCTGGAGGCTGGTGGGTAGGAGCCTGTGGGCAGGCAGGGCCTCAGGGTCTCTGAAACTCCATCAGACGGGAGCTGGCGGTGAAGCCCTCTGGGCAGCAGGCAGCAGGCTGGTGGGGGAGGGAAGGGAGGGCGCCCCTGGGCCGTCCTGCTCCTGGTGGAGGCCGGCCTGGGGTCCCAGGGTGACCAGCCTCTGGTTGTGACGAGGTCTATGGCCCAGGGGGCAAGGAAAGGGCTTTGGCAGGACCTGCCGTGGTCAGAGGCTCACCCAGCTGGGTGGCTGGCCCCCCCGGGCTGGGAGTGTGGGAGGCCCTGGGACTCACAGCCCCTGGCCCTCACAGCCCCTGGCCCTGGGCCCAGGTGGAAGACAGCTACCCGGGGCAGGAGCGCTGGCTGCAGGACTACTGCGCTTCCAGCCTGTACATCCTCACGCTGCTGGAGGCCTTTGGGTTCAGGGAGGAGACCTGGGCCAACATCGAGTTTCAGAAGCAGGTGACCACTTCCCAGCCATGGCTCATCTGCCCCAGGGATGGGGGACTCTGGGGCAGCTACTAGGCCGCCCCACAGCCCTCAGCTGCCTTGTACCCTGCAGGCTGGTGGCACTGACATCGGCTGGACACTGGGCTACATGCTGAACCTGACGGGCATGATCCCGGCCGAGGCGCCAGCCCAGTGGCGGGCACAGAGCTATGGCGTCTGGGTGGCCGGCGTGGTGTTTGTGGTGCTGACCCTCACAGCCATCCTGGGGGCGGCTGCAGTGCAGCTCCTCTGGGTCCAGGACTAGGCGGGGCCCAGAGAGCCAGATGTCCAACAGGATGCCCTCAGGGCTCAGCTGGGAGCCATCGCCAGGTCCTTGATGTCCTGGAGCCGTCCCTTGGACAGCAAGCCCGACTCCACACAGGACTGGGTGGCCAAGTCCGGCACAGCCACTGCCTCCTGGAAGCCAGGCCTCCCGTCCCCCACCTCATGTCACCCAGTTGTGCTGGCCGGTGTGTGGCTCCCCAGACAGCGGGCCTCTCTGCATAAACCCAGGTGGTGCCCGGCAGCACCCAGGCTGTGTGGGGGTGATCATGGGAGGGAGGCTGGACTCCCTGGGTCCCCATTTGCCCGGGGAGGGAGGGGGCTGTGGCTGCCCACTGTGATCCAAAGAGGGACCAGTTCCCATCCCCCACACCCTCTGCTGGCCTATCCAAAACACAGACCACGTGGTAGGGACAGTTTATTAAAGTCTCTCCTGGACAGCTTGGGCCTGGGGTCTGGGGCCGGGTGTGGGCTCCTCACAGGTGCTGTCTGCCACCACGAAGCACTTGGGGAAAATGCCAATGCGGCCATCCAGGTGACCCTCCAGCCACGCCTCGTCCACTGTGAGACACGTGGGTAACACTCAGCCCAGCAGCACCCTGTGCCTGGGCAGCCCCCACAGTGCCAGGGAAGGGCTGTGCCCGACTACCTTCACACAGGACATCCACCACATCCCCGCGACGAAGGTCCAGGTCCTCTGGCTCCTGGGCCAGGTAGTCATGCTGGGCCACCACCTGGCGGAGGACCGGACGGCCCCCAGCCCCCTGTGGCAGGAGAGTGGGCTAGGGGTGGCTCAGGAGGAGGTTGCCCCACGCTGCCCACGGCCACCCACACTCTGCCCCGCCTCACCCGGCACTGGAGCTGCAGCCCTCGGGGCCCCAGGGCCGCGTCCCTCCAGGCACTCTGCAGCTGCTCCTCCCCAGGGAGGGGGGTCCAGGGTGCAGCATCGTTGGGGGCTCGGTAACTGCAAAATGTCCCCAGGGTGGGCCAAGAGGGTGACCCTGGGCAGGGCCTAGATATGCCCTGGGGAGCTGACCCCTGCGGCCAGTTCCCTCTCTACCTGCCAGGACCCAAGACCTGGACTGGGGAAGCCAGTTTGGTCCCTGCCTTGACAGGAGGGTGCCCCACCTACTCCTCAGCTCGGGACCCACCCCACACCCATCCTGTCCCTTCCAGTTCGCATCACGGGGCCTTTCTGGCTGACCTGAACTGCCCCTGCTGGGCCTGGTGCGGGAGGGCCTGAGCCAGCAGTGCCCGCAGGTGGGACAGATCAGCTCCTCTTGGGGCCTTCAGGGCCACTGTGAAGGCACACTGCACGGTGACAGTCACAGAGGATTCAGGGCCTTCTGCATCTGCTCCCTGAGGCCAGGAGAAGTGGCATCAGGACTAGCCAGGGTGGGCTTCAGGCCCAAGGGTGAGGGCAGAGACTGGGGGCTGGGTGAGGCCTGGGAGGGGCAGGCAGCTTTATCTCTTACCCCAGCACCCAAGGGGTCCTCACAGGCGTTGGGACCAGGCCCCCCAGATATTGGTGGCCCTGTGGAATAAAGCAGGGCTCGTGTGGCCATCTATTCCCAATGGAGACAACTTGGGGTAGAGGACTGGCTAGTGGGCATGTGGGCAGCTTGCCTTGCAGGACAAAGGCCAGGCCCGGCTCTGTACACTGAGCGCCTTGCACTCAGGACCCTTACCTGTGGGTGCAGGTGTCTTCTTGCCACTTGGCTCCACCTGGTGCCCCTGCAAGGGAAGTCACAGGCTGGGGTTCTGGGCTGGGGGGCCCTGGCCTTGAGGTGGCTCTCCCTGCCTGGGGCTTGTCAGGGCCCTGGGCTCTGTCCTGGACAGCCAGTGTGACAGTGTGGCCTGAGAGCAGGGCTGCTGGCAGCAGGCCATAAGTCAAACCCTCGGGGATGAATTCAGGGCACTGACCACCAGCTCTGGGACCTCCTGAGGCTTCAGACCTACCAAGCAACTAGGAAGGGCCAGGTCAGGGCATCGGGCATGAGGCCCAGTGAGTGAACTTAGGTGCAGTTCTAAGCACTGAAGCGGCTGAGTGCAGCTGTTAAGAGGGACACTGAGCCGAAGCTGAATGAACAGGACACTGACGAGAAAGCGAGGCTGGCCGCCCTCAGGACACCCAGGCACAGGCTCCACAAGGCCCTGCTCCTGGCTTCTGGCTGCTGTGCCTTCCTCCACCCACCCCACCCGGCCTGGGGCTGGGAGCCTGGGAGCCAGGGAGCAAGCCGGAGTGATGCCTGTCCAGGGGAGGGCAGGAGCCCGTGCCCTCCAGGCTGCCTGCCTCCGACTGCGTGCAGGCTGCACTCCTGGGGGCCCACAGGGAGATTCCTACCACATCCCTGGCCCAGCCAGTGAGGAGGCTGCCCCACGCACCCCGGGCTCACGCGCTGGCTCGCGGCTGATGCCTGGCACGAAGAGCTCAGCCTGCGGCGCCTGGTCCGAAGCCACCTCCGTCTCTGCAGGGTCAGGACTGCGGTGGGCGCCAGCTCTCTGGCGGTCTAAGCCTCGGGCCCTGGGCAGGGGGCCACAACTCAGGCCTAGCCCATGCGGGCTTACAGCCCTGCCCTCCCAGAGCCCGGACCTTTCTGTCATCGTCTCAGCAGCCCCTTCCGCCAAATGCAGTACAAGCCCTGCCCCAGGCAAGTCATGTCACTGAGTCCCCTCCCTGGACAGCTCAGTTGACCCTCATCCCGCCTCCCTTGCTGCGCCTGGAGTCACAGTGACTCGGTGAGTCTCAGCCTCCCCCCGTGTGCCCACCTCTCCAAGGGGGAGTTTTGTGGCAGGAGACAGGGTAGGCTGAGGGAGGCCAGGGCCCCTTTTCTGGCACCCAGGCATCTAGCCAGTTTCAATCTATAAACAGGTGGGGACAGTCCTGTCCCTGGGCAGGAATGGCCACGCCCAGCCCCTTCCTACCATGGTGCAGTCTCCAGACCAGCTTTGTTGTCAGCTCTCCATCCCTGTGGGCACAAAGGGACATCCTCACCTGGCCTGGCCAAGAATGGGAGACAAACAGGTGGCTCCTCTGCCCCAAACCTCAAGACTGCATGTCCTTACAGGTCCTCATGCCAGTGGGACAGCCACTCCCACCTCCCACTAGGGGAGGCTGGGGGCCCCGGCAGAGGGACAGAGCAGGACCGTGGTCCCGCAGTGTTCTCTCCTTACCAAAAGCCAGGCAAATGCAGGCCTGGCCTGCTGGATGGTCACTCACCTGCTGAGGCTGGAGACCTGAGTGTTGGTCACTGGGGATGGCAGACACTACCACCTGGGGGCGACAGGGGCACACTCAGACCCAGTGGGGTCTGCACCTCCAGCACCTCCCAGCCTCTGATACGCAGGCTGGGGGCTGCGGGAACAAAGGAGACATTTCTGTGCTGATGATTTCTTTATGGTGCTGGGGATTGAACCCAGTGGTGCTTTACCACTGAGCTACACCCCAGCTCTTTTTATTTTGAGATAAGGTCTTGCTAAGTTGCTGAGGCTGGCCTTGAACTTATTTTTTTATATATATTTAGTTTTTAGTTGTAGTTGGACACAACCTTTATTTTATTTATTTTTATGTGGTGCTGAGGATCGAACCCAGGGCCTCGCACGTGCTAGGTGAGCGCCCTGCCACTGAGCCACAATCCCAGCCCTAAAGCCTTGCTCCTGGCTTCTGGCTGCTGTGCCTTCCTCCACCCACCCCACCCAGGCCTGGGGCTGGGAGCCTGGGAGCCAGGGAGCAAGCCAGAGTGATGCCTGTCCAGGGGAGGGCAGGAGCCGTGCCCTCCAGCCCCAAGGCCTTGAACTTATGATCCTCCTGCCTCAGCCTCCCAAGGTGCTGGGGTTGTGGGCATGTGCCACCATGTCCAGCATCCATGCTGATAATTTTAATATTTTTAGTACAAGTTTCAAAATATTTTTTGTTTCTTGTGACAGTCTTGTATTGTGGAAGGAGGACTGCAAATGGCTGCTTGGACACAGCCCCTTCTCCCTGCCCTGGCCTGCCCCAGGGACATCTATGGGTGGCACATGCCATGTGCAGCTGCACAGTAGTGTACTGGCTGAGTGCTGCTGTAAGTGACCACAGGTACACTGCCAGTCTAAGGGCCACCAGTGCAAAAGCAAGGTGCTCTTCTTGTGATGCTGGGAAATGCCATTGCCCCAAATCCCTCTTCCTGCCTTCAGAGGGGAACTTCTCCCAGTACCCTGTGATCTGGAGTCACTGCTGGCCCCCGACCCAGGGAGGGGATAAGGTACAGCCCAGGACAGCCATCTGGGTCCCACCCTACCCTCCTGTGTATGGCAGAGAGAGGCAGGGGCAAGGCGTGGCTGCTGCCGGCCTCCTCCACAGCGGGCTTCCTGGGTCCTGCCTCCAGGCCCACAGCCCCACTGGGGATGCCATCCCCTAACACTCAAGTCAGTTTGAGGGCCTTCCAGTGGCCTTGACTGGACCTCAGGTGTCCCCAGGCACACAGCTGCGGCTCAGTGCAGGAGCACAGCCGCACTAGAGCTCAGTGGGCCCTGGCCCGCGCTCGGGCTGGGGAGGGGCCTGCACACACTCTACCTTGGCCTTGCCGAGAAAGTCCACTGGCTGCAGATGCTCCAGGTGCCGCCGGGGGGGCCGGAACACCTCACCCCTGGGAACCTGCCGGGGCTGTAGGGTAGCCTGTTTCTGGGACAGAGTCATTGCAGACCTCAGTGGCTGGCCGGCAGCAGGGGCAGGAGCCACTTAGACCCTGCCTGTCCCTCAGCCACCTCCCTGAAGAGCTTCTTCTTGTCACACAGTGGCCCTCAAGAGGCTGAGCTGTCAACACCAGCCCCAGCTGTAGGCCACAGGTGGCCTGTCCAGGGCCAGCACCCTCACCTGTCTTCTACACCTGACCTCCTTACCTGCACTTGGTTCAAAGCGGTGTCCAGGCCGTCCTGGGCCCTCTCTGGCCACTTGGAGATGGCCTCCACCAGGGTGTCAGCAGCCTGGGTCCACAGCCCTAGTTGGCACTGTGCAGATGCCACATTGAACAGCACCTGGGAGTGAGGGTGAGGGATGGCAGGGGCCAGATCCTACCCCTGAACCCTCTGGCCCACCCACTCCCCCCACATGGGCTCCCCAGCCACAGCAGCTGAGGGTGCTTCTGGTGCCCAGCTGACATGGGGACTGTGGCCAGGGACCAGGCTGCCTGTGGCCACCCAGCCCAGTCATGGGCAGTCAGGTGGCCCTGCCCTGTACCCAGCTCAACCTCTGGCAATACCCTACTTTGCTCTGGGGCATCATCTTCCACTTTGGACATTAGAGCTTCTCTCCCTGGACTGTGCCCGGCCTGCACACCCTCCCATGCCCTGTTCCCTGTACCTGCAAGTCTGAAGAAGGTCCTGCAGGGGCCGAGGGGACTCTCAGAACCCACTGTGCAATGGACAGGATGGGTTGGGTCAGGCTGCCCACAGCATCAGGGACACACCAAGTTCCGTGGTACTCTGGGCCCCTTGCCCCTGGCCTCCACAGCAGAGTGCCTAGTCAACCTGGCTGCTTCAACGGGGAAATCCACTGGCCCTTCCAGTGGTCCTCTGTCCCCAAGACTGCCAGGTGGAACCTGAGTTCCTGCAGCTGGTGTCTGCCCTCTGGGCCCAGGAGGACCACCACTCAGCACCACGTAGTGCTCTGGGCTTTGGACCCTGGCTTCTGGACCCACACTGGCTGGGCTGCCCCATGATGACTTTGTCATGACTCACGTTGTCCCCACAGACTTCCAAGCAGGGACTCCCGGGAACCATGGGGCTCTGCTAAGTGCCCTTCCCTGTGCCAGCCCTGATCCTGGCAACCAGGAGCAGGATCAAGCAGAGCCTTGGCTCTGGGACACCCTGCCCCAATCCACACCCGGCCTCCGAGCTTGCACCTGTCTCCGGCCCTTCCCTGCCTTGCTGTGTGTGCCCAAGGCCTGGAGTGGTCCGTCCACATCGCCACCAGCCCTCCTCAGGGCCTTAGGCCTCGGGGCTCACCGTCCACGGCCCACCAAGACAGGAGCACCACCCGCAGCAGCCCAGGCCCACAGACAGCACCTGCAGAGCCCAAAATGGCAGCCTGGGCAGCCACACCCCACACAACCCTGTGCCCGCTCACCTCCCAAGCCTGCAGCCTGAAGCGCAGGCCCAGCTGTGTGTAGTCGATGACAGTGTTGCCCCTCAGCTGTGCCAGGGCCAGCTGAAAGTCGGACAGGGCCCCCTGGAACCTGGGGGGAGCAGGGCCCCTCAGTAGCTGCAAGGTTAAGCCTGTGAGGGACGTCTGGGGACACTGGCCCTGCTGTGGCTTGGGAAGACCTCACGCCTTGGGCACTCGGGGCCAGGCAAACAGCTCAAGGGATGGGTACACCAAGGTGCCAGGCAGATGAGGTGGGGCTGCAGCCTGACTTTGCTGCCCAGCTCTGCTCACCTTTCTGCAGGCCTGTGGGTAGCTACCATGCACAGTGCCCAGGCACACACCCTGGGGCCTTCCCCCTCCAAATTTCGGATTTCCAGCTCCTGCTGGGAGATCCCCCAGCCCCACCAGACATCCCACCTCCCCCCGGGCCAGCTTTCCAGGCTGATCAGAGCCTGCAGCCTGAAGGCCGCCCTCCCTGGTTTCTCCTCTAGGAAGGACATGGTACAAAGTCATGTGGCCACAAATATCATGGATCAAGCCCTCATTTTCCACCTCTGAGAAATGGGAACAATCAGAAGGTCCTGCTTCTACAGATGTGATGAGGAGAGAACCAAAGGGGTTGGGAAAGTGCCTGTGAGTCACAGCAGAGAAGGGCCGTGTGGGCCTGAAGTGCATCTCCGCAAGACCCCAGAGTCCCTCCCCAGGCTGGGGGACCAGGGAACAGAGGAGGAAGAACAGACTGGGCTTACTCAAGGGGCCTGTGCTCACCTCTCCAGCTGGAAGTTGGCCACTCCTCGCTGGAGAAACCCAACAGCCATGCAGGGGTCCTTCGTCACTGCTTGGTCAAATGCCTGGAATCAAAATGCACAAGAATGCCAAGGCCCAGAACCCAGTGCTTCCGATGGACGTGGGATTCCACTGGCCCCAGAGCCGTCAGCAGGCCCCTCCCACCTGCCCATGCCTTCTCACCAGACTGAGACAGGGCAGGGCCCCCCAGGTATGTTGAAAGCCCACCATGAGCACAGAGAGAAGCTAGGAGGAACACTCCAGTGCCAGTAACAACTGCCTCGGGCGGGGGGGGGGGCATGAGAATCTTGTCTTGTTAAAACGCTTTTTTGGTAGTTCACAAACAAGGTCATACTAGATATCAATCACAGTCAGAACAATGAAGTGTCAGCATGAGAGGCTGATCATGTGGAAAGCACAGCTCTTCCTCAAACCAGTCTCGGAAATAACCCTACGTTCCCAAGGGGACAGCAGCCATCAGTTAAATACAGGCAGTAAAAGGGTTGTTTCTCACTCCAGCAATCTGTACCAGAGAAGAGCCTGTTGTTTCACTGGGTTTGACCTGGGTTTGCAGGTGGGGTGGCTGCTCATGTTTGCTATCCCACCACACCCAGCAGCCAAAGCAAACATTGTGGAAGTTCCACACCAACCGGCAGCAGTTCAGCTACACCCTGGTCAACTGTCCCCCTCCCAGAAGGTTTTACTCACGGTGGAGGCTCCTTCTACTTTTTTTCACACCTCTAACTAGCATGCCTGTGCTGTTGCATCCTATTTTGCTGGCTTTAGACAGGACCCTGTCCTCTCACGGTGGAGGACTTACAGCCTGACGCCCTCCACTTGTTCATGAAGGAAGCCTGGCTGAGCCCAACGTCACTTGAGGCCCTCCCACCAGTAGCCAGGGCTAAATTCCCTTGCTTGAATGGCACCTGGAAATGGGACTGTTTGTTACTGGGACAGCCAGGGGTGCAGATGCAGGTGGAGGAAGTAACAGGGATTCTACTCTTGGCCCTGCCTCTGGGCAGGTGCTCTGTGGGGACAGTGGGCGCCCTCACCCACCCAGTCTGGTTCTTTCCACTTCCTGCCTGCAGTGCATCCAGGCAGGTGCCACTGCTCATCCCAACAACTGTGGAAACCTGTTATCTGAGTGGTGGGCAGAGTGCGGTTGGCCTTTGTCATACATCCAAGAGCAGGCCCCACTGTGACAGTGACCAACATGAAGCATTTACAAAGTAGAGGGAGCCAGGGAGCCTGCAGCCTCCTGGGGCGGGTGTGAGCTATGGCACCCTGAGCTCGGGGCTCCCTCCACAGGCGGCAGGCAGTCCCCACATCCCACCCTGGGCCTGAGCCCGGAGCCAGTGCTGGCCCTGGCTTTTCAGGATGACTGCTGTGGCTGGCCTGGGGCAGGACAGGCACCCCATTCTGGTCCTGACGGCTCAGGGGACCCTGGAACACACAGCTCCCTGCTGCCTTAGGCATTCCCTCAGGAGGAGCACTGGGAGGGAGAACCCCCATGTTAGCCTCAGGGAGGAAGGGTAGGGAACCCCCAGGGGACCACCCCTCATGGACCTCCCCAGGGACAGGTCTCTGCCACCAGTCCTGGGGCGCTCACCTGCAGCGCGGCCTCGGGGTCCCCAGCCAGCAGATGCACGCAGCCCACGTTGAAGAGAATCCTAGCGGGCTGCTCTGAGATGCCCGAGAAGAGGCGCAGCGCACTGCTCCAGTCCCCGCGCGCCACAGCCTGTGCGCCCAGGTGCCAGTCGCGCACCTGGTCCCCAAGCGAACGCATGGCGGCGAGGACACCGGCTGGCTGCGCGGCACTGGTGGGGTCGGGCTCTGCGCTGACTGGGCCGGGTCTGACCAGCGGCAGGGCCCATCTGCTAGTCCCGAAGGCCTGACCACGCCCCACGCCCGTCCAAAGACCCGGCCACGCCCTCCCACAGCCCCGGCCACGCCTTCCCCGCACCCCGGCCACTCCCCTCCGGCCCGTCGCGGGGTGGCCGGGTCCTTTCTGTGACTGGGCTGCCTCTCCCGACCCAACAGGCCTCTGTGCCTACAGACCAGCGAGGATTTTTAGGAGTCGGCATGAGGCCATGGGCCTGGCCAGTGTGCACCCTGCAGGCCAGCTGACAGGGGCACTTGCGGAGGACTGCACTTGACTCCCAGGGCCTCTGCAGGTGGAATCCCATCCCGGTCCCCGCCTCTGCCTTTCTCTTGGGGGGGGGGGCCTTCAACAGATTGGATGAGACACACCCACGTGGGGGATCTTTGGCTTTACTGCACAGCTACTGATTGAAATATTGACCTTCACTATCGAGGCGGGAGCTGCCTCGCACATGTGCCATGCTGGGTTCCAGCCTCAGCGCCACATAAAAATAAATAAAAGTATTGTGTTCATCTACAATTTAAAAAAAAAAAAACAAACTTCACTGAGACATGTGACAGGCCACATCTCTGGGCACCAGACCTAGCCAAGGTGACACATGAGATTGACCATCACAGCACCCAACTTAAGGAGCCAGATTTAGTTGTAACAGAGACTGACTCACCTTCCTGCCAGGCTGCTTTCCTTCCTGGGCTGGGCTGGGCCCTGTGGGACCATTGGACCTATGATCTGAGGCCACTTTACTTAGATTTATGGCTGATACTCCCACCTGTGTGACCCAAGGGCTGCTACTTAACCTCTCTGAGCCTGCCTCTTCAATTGCAAAATGGACTTTGGAGAATTCAAGGAAATCATGCCAACTGTGGGTGTATACCTGAACTGCGTGCCACCTCCCCTTCATGGAGGGAGTCCTCCCTAGCCCATGTTCCGTGGGTGCTCACCTTGTAAGTCAGGGGCCAGCACCACAAAGGACAAGAATACCCCTTGGCCTCCGCTCACAATGGACAGCAGCCCCAGGGCTTGATGTGTGCTGCCCCCGAACCAGGGTCAGCTCAGGGTCGTGTGTTCTTTGCAGGCCATGTGCCTTGTCCTCAGCACAGGGATGCGCTTGAGCCAGCTGTGCCTGAAGCCATCACCACACATCCACCTTGCCTGTGCTCACCCTGACTTCATTTCCCTCCGTCCTCGGCAGGTCAAAAACCCCCAGTGTCTGGCATCAAGGAGAAGCGACTGCTGCTTGGTGTGGGGCTCATCACTTTTCGGGTGTTGTTTCGGTCAGATTTTTTGCCGCTGTGACCAAAAGACCTGACGAGAACAACTTTAGAGGAGGAAAGGTTAATTTGGCTCACGTTTCCGAGGTCGCTGTTGCTCCGGGCCCAGGTGCGGCAGGACATCATGGCACAAGGGTGTGCCAGGAGAAAGCAGCTCAGGACATGGCCACCAGGAAGCAGACGCTAAGCTTGACTCACCAGGGACAAAGAATAAACCCCAAAGGCACACCCAGGTGACCCGTGGCCACCTGCACACGGCTACCACACAGTACATTCAAGTGGACTGACGGGTTGATTAGGGCAGTGTCAGAACTCAGGACCAGACCAGTCAGGGTCACTTAGGGGAACTGGGCTGCACAAAGTCCTCCCACAGAGACAGAGAAGTGGGCTCTGGATGGCTCCTTGTCCTAGCTCCCACAAAGGAAGCCAGGCGGCAAGAAAGAGCGCGCCTCGGCCCCGGGCCTCACTGGGGGAGGCTGTCCATGGACATCCTGTCCCCCAAAGGCAAAGGGCCAGCCACTGGGCGACGCTCTCTCCTGGCGCAGGCCTCATCATCCAGGCGGAGGTAAAGCCCAAGCTACTGGGGGGCAGGCGTTGTTCAGTACATCAGGACTTAAAGGCTTCGGCAGAAGGGCAGCTCCTGACAGGCCGGGGCTTCCGCAGGCTGCCGTTTCTCCTCTGGACGTCCTTGCACTGTCTCTCGCATGAGCTTTTGGGGGACGGCTCACATCCAAACCCTAAAGGGGGACAGGGAGGTTCTGTGGTTAGACGGTGGCAATGGAGGCACACATGGGCTCTCTGGGCAGCCAGCCGCACATGTGTGAGGCGTGTGAGTCAGGGCTTGTGTCCAGGGCCTGCGTCCCTGCCAGGACCCAGCAGTGTGCTGGCTGGCCCCTGCCTCCTTCTCCTGGCTGCACCTGCCTCTCTGGGGCCCAGGGATGGGGTCTCTGGCAGGTCTGCCCACTCGGCTTGGGACTCGGGGCTGAGATAGGAATTTGGGCATAAGGAGAGAAATATCTCTGAACAACTGAGACGCACAGAGAACCCAGGATCTCCTGGGTCTGCCCACGCCGGGCTCCACCCGCTCCTCTCACACCCAGCTCCCGGCTCTGGCCCTCTACAAAATTGTAAATACTAACAGGAATGGAGACTCTGGCCCTTTGTCCCTCCTACCAATTCGGGGGCCATCTTGAAGGGTCCCAAGGCACTCCACCCTACCTCCTGCACCCCTCCAGGTGACACCCCCAGAGAGCAGGGTGCACCTGGAGGCCCCGCTGGCCCTTCCCCCTGGGAGGGGCTTGGGAATCTTCGTTTGGCTGTTCACTGCAGCGTAGACCAGGGCCTCTGTGTCCTGTGGCCACGAGAATCCCCAGCCTGTCCTCTGTGCAGCCTCAGGAGCGCAGGGAGCTGGCCCTGGGGAGGTGCAGATGGAGGCCAGATGCTGGCACCTGGTGCCACTGGCCACTCCTGACCCTTGGCCAGCAGTGTGCTTGGTTTCTTGGAGGCCCTGTAAGCAATGCCTGATGGGGCTCATTTGAAGGTGGCCCTGGGTCAGGAGGCATCCGAGCTTGCTAGCATCCTCCCAGATTGAGGGAGACACTCCAGGAGGCTTCCACATCCTGGGCCCTGGGAGTCTCCCTGGGGAGGCTGCTCTGCTCAGGCCAGGAGTAGGGTCCTCTGTGTTTGGGGCCAGGTGCCGAGGCACCCTCAGCCCCCTGAGCCAGCTGGCCCGGGGTGCGGGGTCTGTGGCTTCTTGACTTTCCCTCCCATGAGGGAGGGAGCCCTCAAGGTTCCCCAACTTGGCAGGGTAGGTGGCCAGGAAAGGTGCCTGAGAGCTACCTCTGCTGCCCACCCCTCGGTTGTCCTGAGGTTGCTGGACACTGCCCAGGGCCACACACTGGCTGGGGGCCAGGATCCCACTCCAGAATCTCCTGAAGTAGACCCAAGCAGGCCATGCCCAGCACCCACCGGAGGGCAGCAAGGGCCACCCTGGCACAGACTCAAGACCAGGAGCAAGGCCTCTGAGCCAGGGGCCCCACAGGCCCAGAGTGGGCAGGCGGCCCCTGCCCTGCCCTGCAACCACCTTTGCAGGCTCCCTCCCTCCCACAGGGCACAGCTGCAGCCCTGTAGGCCCACTGTGCAGCCCTGCCCATTGTAGGGGGCCAGGGCCTGGGGGCTGCTGCTGTGCCCAGGGGGCCCGCTGCTGGGCCAGGTGTGGCCAAGTGCCTCCTGAGCCAGAGGTCCTATGGGGTGGAGGCTCACCAGGCCGAGTGCGGTCAGGAAACTCTGTGATGCTGCTCGTGCTGGCCGTGGCTGGTGGACACCCCCTGGCAGGGGGCAGGAGCGTAGGCACCTGGCTTCCCGCAGAGGTCAGTGTGCAAAGCGAGTGTTGCTAGCATGGACTTGAGGCTGTCCCCACCCTGACGCTGGCCGGGCAGTGTGGACCCCTCCCCAGCCGGAGCTCCAGCAGCAGTGCAGCAAGGGCCCTGGGGAGGACTGGGCGGGGTCTCCACAGGCCTCTCCATTCCCTGCCTGGTGCCTGGCGAGGACCCCGCCCTCCAGGGAAGGTGGAGGCCTCCCTGCCAGGAACTCACCTCCCTCCTGCGGCCACGGGCCTGGAGAAAGACAGGGACACTGGTGGGCACAGCTTGGGTGGCCCCATGGGGCCACCTGCCCCTCGTGCCCTCAGCATTGGGTCAGCCTAGGGGACCCAGGGGGCCTTTGGACAGACAGGCAGGTGGACCAGGGCTCTGCTTGGGCAGCGGGAGTGCAGCCCTCGGACCGACAAGCCCCTGGACCACAAGTGCCACCCTCGCAGGGTGCTGAGCTCCGGGGGTGCTGCCAGGTTCGGCCAGCGGAGGGCCCCAGAGACCAGCTCCTGGCGGCTAGGCCCTGGTGGGTGTGAGCCCAGAGCCCGCCTGCTGTGGGCCACTGGCAGGGGTGGCTCTGGGGGCCTCCGTGTCCCCCAGCCTCGGTGCATCCTGCGATGGGCACCATCCTGCTGGCGGGACTATGCTCTCTGCCTGGTTTGTGAACAGGTGGGCAGGCCGTGGGGGGCTGGGGAGCTGGGAAGTTTCCGGCAGCAGCAGGAGTGCTGTGGGGTGGTGGCTGCCCTGGCCACCCCCTGCTGCCTGCCCAGATCTTCACCACCTCCTGTCGGCCCACCCCTCAGCAGCCCTGAGGCGGCTGTTCTGGGGTGGAAGGTGCATCCTGGGAGCTCGCAGCAGGAGGAGTCACTGGAGCACGGCTGGCAGTTCTGGGGTTTCTGGCTTTTCCCCTCACCCAGGTGCCTGCCGCCTCCCCGCAGAAGCTGGCCGGGCCCTGGGTGCTGGACCCTGGGCAGGTGCTGCGTGGCGGTGCAGCAGGCTCAGTGGGGCTCTGGGAGCACACACCCCTCCCCAGCACTGGGCCAGCGAAGGCGCGAGGTGGACCACAAGCTCACAGAGAGATGGACAGGCCAAGAGGTGGGTGGCAGAGCTGGCGGGGTCCCGGGCCAGAGGGGGCCGGGCTGCATTTGTCAATAGGAAGTACTCCAGAAGCGAGCGAGAGCCAGTGGCGTCTTGGAAAGCTCCAGAACAGTCGCTGGCTGCACGCCCTCGCTCTCTTGCCTGATGGGGCAGTGTTTGCCCAGCTCTGAATCCCGGGGGCACTCAGGTCTGCCCACAGGGTGTGGGAGCCTCTGCCAGGAAGGAGAAAGTCCTGTGAGTGTCTGACATGGCTGGATCCTGTCCCCCAAGGCGAGAGCATTTAAAGAGGCCATCAGGGCCAATGGGTTTGAGAGCCCTGATTGGAGGCCAGAACCAGGCGCATGGAGAGGGCTTCAAGGAGTGGGGCGGTGTGAGCCGCCCACCTGCGGCTCTGAGGGCCTCTGAGCAGACCCCTGCGCTCACCGGGCAGGACTGCCTAAGTGCTCCTTAGGGACACCTGCCATCTGCAGGTCTGTCACTTGCTCCATGTCCTGGTGGAAGGTCCAGGCCGGTGGTGATGGGAGGACCCTCAGTACTGAGGATGGTGGGACAGCCTGCCCAGCCCCTCGTGGCCACGGACCCCATCTTGCTTGAAGCCCTGTGAGGAGACGGGGGAGGGGCCAGAGCAGGGGAGAGACGGGGGAGGCTGAGCCCGGGCCTCAGAGCAGAGCTGAGGTCAGTCCCTGGAGATCAGAGCCGGGCCTCGGGGGCTTTGGGAGGCAAGGGGCCACGTGGCAGGAACCCTGGCTTCAGTCCAGTGTGGACAGGTGGTGAACTGGAGGCAGGGAGGCTGGGAGGCCTCCGGGCAGTCCCCAGCCTGCTGGGGACCCTGAGCAAGGGGCGGGGCACCGTGGGGCTGGGGCTGAGGGGGGAGGTGGCCTGGTCCTGGCTGCACTGTGGCAAGGACACAGTGGTCTTCCTGGATGGGGCCACCCTGTCCCCACGGGGACTGCCCACGGAAGTCCTGTGTGGGGTCCAGCACTGACCTAGGCCCTCTCAGGGGAGGACAGCGGCCCCAGACACTGAGAAGAGCTCCTGAGAGTGGCCTTGATGCAGCCAGCCTCCGCTGGAGGTCATGGGGAGGGGAGGAGGCACCCAGAGAGGCTGCTGAGGGCCTCAGGGACGGGCCCTGGGCTGTTGCTGAGAGCCGGACACTGGAAAAGATGGGCTCAATGAAAGGCCCGAGACAAACCCCGGAGGCCAGGTGGGTAGCATCAGGAGGCTGAGGCAGGAGGTCCTCCCGGGCCCTGGGCAGACGCAGCCTGTTTAATCCGTCCTGCAAGGAGGGGAGAGGAGGGATGGGGCCTGTCTGAAAACCAGACTGCCCAGCTGGGGCGGTGGCCACGCCTGTCATCCCCGCGGCTCCAGAGCCGGGGGCAGGAGGATGGGGAGTTCAGAGCCACCTCAGCTTCGGCAAGGCACGGAGCACCTCAGTGAGACCTGTCTCTAAATAAAGAACAAAATAGGCTGGGGACGTGGGAGGGCGCCCCTGAGTCCAACCCCGTACCCTCCTCTCCCCAGAAAACAAGACTGCCCAGGCCCCGAGGGGCTGTCTCCTGCCCTCGGTGCCCTGTCCTTGCACTGCACCTGGCCCTGGGTCCTGCCCCAGCCAAAGGACTCTGCCAGGGGTCACTTTCACTCTGGGTGTGAGACCTGTTCTCTGGTGTCCCCTTGGGAACTGGCTGGGGAACCCCAGTGTGCCTCCTCTTTTCTGGTAGCCACGGTCTCCAGATGTTCCCAAGGTGGCCTCTAGGCTCGGTCCCTGCTTTTGGGGAACTGGCTCTGGCCATCAGGCTAGGCCAGAGACAGGAAAGGAGACCCAGGGCCCAGCGGCAGAGAGGCCGGGAGGTGCTCCTGGAAGACAAGGGCACTTCAGCCCCCATCTCCAAGCCCACCCTGGCCAATGGGCTTGCCACCCTTGCACATGGGGTTTGGCCCAGCTGAGAGGTCCAGGCCAAGTCGACCGTCCCCCTTGGGCACCTCCATATCAGGGGCTGGTCAGTCCTTTCCTGATGTACCCCAGCCCTTCTGCTAATCA